TTTCTTGGCCCTTTGCAAGGTTTTTCTTGGCCCTCTTCAAGCTCTTTCATGGCTCGTTTCCTCTTCAAGGGCCCTTTCTTAGCCCATTTCCTCTTCAAGCCCTTTCCTTCTTCAAGCCCTTCCTTGGCCCTTTCCTTCTTCAGGCCTTTCCTTGGCCCTTTCCCTTCTCATCAGAGATCTGGAATGGCTTTATACCATTTTTTCTTCACACACCTAACCCTCACCAGCCTCTTCCCTCCCTCTGGGGAGGCCTGGTGTAGAGTAGATCTTTCCTTACCGGCTCCAAGAGCGTCACAGTGACCAGTAGCTGCTGTAATCTGACTATTCCTTTTTCTTTTTTTTTTTTTTTTTGTTCCCCTGGTCGTGTTTCAGGCTGACGTTGTTTCTTGGCAGGCTCTGCGGAGGGGTTACGGCGTGGTCCTGTGCTCGTGCGTCACCTCTGAAAAGCGAGCCCCGGCGAGGTTGTGCGTGCCTGTCAAGGTTATTTGAACTGAGGTGAGCCAACAGCTGCCTGCCAGAGAGCCACAGCACAAGCCTGGCCAGCCCTCTGCCCTGCCCGGGCACATCCACCATGACAGGGGACACAGGGAGGGACGTAGAGTCCCCTCCACGGGGCTCTCCGCGCCAGAGGACATCACAACAGGGGTCGTGTGATGGCTCTGGTCTTTCCAGCTATCGAGGCAGTGATGAGTGTTGGTTTTGCTGGGAGTATCCCCTAATTATTGCAGCTTGAGCGCTCCCAAATGTGGTGATCTGATGGATTTTCCAGTTGGCAGCGCTTAGGCACCAGGGAATAAAGCTTTCCCATGGAACAGGCAAGGTGGTGGCATGTGCTTCATCTTCTGGATGCCCCAAGGCAGGCAGTATCTTTCCGCTTGAGTTCTTCTTGATTCAGTTGGAAAAAAGTAGAGGAGCTTTCCGTTGCGCAAGCCCTTCCTGAAGCAGAAACTGGGTGTTTTTGGAGACAAACGTGAGTTGAGGAGGACAGCTTGGAGCTTAGCGTGTTGGTGTGGACCATGAGCCCAAGGCTGTTGGCTGTTTTGAAAGTACTAGTGGTCGAGAATCCTGTGCCTTAGGGAGTGTCTTAACTTTTTTTTGGAAGAAGCAGGTTTTGGACTACTTTGGTGAGCTCTGTGGAGGAGCTGGGCAGCCGTGCAGCCCCCAGAAATGCTGTGGGATGTTTTGGGGGGTTTGGTTCTGACATCTCTCGCGTTCTCCTTCCCTTTGAAGCTTGCTGTTGTGGGATTTTCCAGACCAAACCCATGAGTTTCTTATCTTTCTTATCGCCTCGATGTTCTATTAATAACTAATACATAAGAAACTGCTGGGTTCTATAAACATGTTTTTTGCCTTTAATGTGAGCAACAGGTGCTGGCTGCTTATATAACACTTTGGAAATCTTGCAACAGCAGCTGGCGCTTAATTTGCTAAATGTCATTTTATGAACCTCTTTCTTCTCCCCCCCTCCCCATCTTTTTTCCCCCCTCCCCGTGCTTTAATCTTCTTACAAAACTCAGAAATTTCCTGCTATCCGAGGGCGATTATTGCTTTACATTCGAACACGTGCTTGCTTTTTTGGACTAATCCTTCGCGCTGCAACCAAATTGAGTTGAAAACCTGTCCTTCAGAGATGACCCTTAGGTTGTACTCTTCTCTTGGTAAAAGGAGCTGCTTGCATAGTTTCGGAGTCCTCTGCCTATCACAAAGTTACAGACATTTCAAAATCAAGCGAATGTGAAGGGAGTGATATCCCTGGCTGCTGCCTCTCTCACGCACAGGCTTTTTTTTTTTTTTTTTTTTTTTTTTTTTTTTTTTATGTGAAGTTTTTTAATACCAGTTTGGGTGGAGGAGTTAAACCAGTGACCAAGAAACTAGTCAGAATATAATGTGGGTGGGTGAGGTTTAAAAATATATATATTTTTATTTTTTTTCTCTCCAGTCCCTAACAGAAGAGAAGTGTTTCTCTTTGGGATATTAAGAAAGAGAAACCAATCAAAAAACTTAAGATGTTTTTTTTTTTACATCAGTTAAATGAATGCTTCTTGTGTTCAGAGCTGTTAGTAACTCCTTGAAGTTCTTTAAAACGGGAATATCTGATCTAGCAAAATGGGCATTACTGTCTGAGTTGCTCTTGCAAGTTAATCGCTGTCTTGGGGCTACCTTTATGTCCTGGTTGGTTTGGGGAAGTGTTTTGAAGGGGTGCTATTAATTTCTTTATATATCTGTGAGCTTGCTGGCAACTTTTAGAATTTAATAGCTAGTTACACCATTTTTCCCCCTCCTCCCCCCTTTCATATTTGAAACAGAAGTAAATGCACGTCATAGGCGGGTTTTTTTGCGTGCAGCTGCACTGCATGGGGGAGCCAGGGTGTTTTTTTTAGTGTCTGCTATAAAATGTTTGCTGTTCCTTTGAGTCAGCCTGAACTTGCAAGTAATTTCTCAGTTTGGGGCTCTGTGGTTTCACTCCAGGTGCGTTCGGAGAAACCAGTCCGGTGGGTGGGAAACCAGTCTCATCGCAGCGTGGTATTTTTAGTAGTGACTGACTTCAGTTTGTGCTTTGTTTGTAGAGCTCAAAATCCCTTTGCAGGTTCTTCAAGGGGAAATTTACTGCAACAGAGACCAGTGAGTCTCTCCTAGTGCTGTGTTGTTTGTTGTCCCATTCTGAAACAAGAAGGGATTATCATGGCTCTTTATAGGGCTAATACTGCTCTTTAACATTTCCTAGGGAGAAACAACGTATTATAAGATTGAATTGTCTGGGTATGTCTGCCCCCTGCCTTTTTCCCCTGCACACGGAGCTATTTTTGCACCTACTGGCTAATTTCCGTCATGGCTCTTTATAGGGATAATACTACTCTTTAACATTTCCTAGGGAGAAACACGTATTATGAGATTGAATTGTCTGGGTATGTCTGCCTCCTGCCTTCTTCCCCTGCACATAGAGCTATTTTTGCACCTACTGGCTAATTTCCAGTAAGCTTGACAGGGACTGAGACTCAAAAATAGCAAGAACGTGTCTGTTTTTATGAAGGTGGGCTTGCAGGGGAGGGAAATCTCATCAGTGTGTTGGCTGAACATCAGAGAATGGTTGTGATTAAATCATCTGGTCCAACCCCCTTGCTCAAGCAGGGCCACCCAGAGCTGGTGGCCCAGGACTGTCACTAGATGGCTTTTGGGTATCTCCAAGGATGGAGCTTCCACAACCTCCCTGGGCAACCTGTGCCAGTGCTTGGTCACAGTCACAGTAAAAAAATGTTTCCTCGTGTTTTGAAGGAATCTCCTGTGTTTCAGTGTGTGCCCATGGCCTCTGGTGCTGCCACGGGGTATGTGAGATATTTATATACATTGATAATATCCCTCCTGAGCCTTCTCTTCTCCAGGCTGAACAGTCCCAGCTCTCTCAGCCTTTCCTCAAGGGAGAGATGCTCCAGTCCCTTCATCATCTTCGTGGCCCATCAGCAATATAAGCTGAATTGTGCTAATCAACGCTAGAGAATTGAGACAGGAGGGAGATGCCATAACCTCTTAGATAGCAATTAGATCCCTCTGAGGGTGAGTCCTCAGGAAACAGGGCTTCTTCACTTTCAGTGCTTGAGGAATAGCTTGTTTGCTCCAGCCCTGTGACAGGAGAGATACGGTTTTAAATAGATGAAGCCTGTAATCAGGGAGACTGATCCCTCTAATGGGTTTGTGGCTGTGAGGTGCAGCAGAGGCTCAGCTGATTCGTCAGGATACTAATTGCCCATGCTTCTCAAGGCAATCAACAAGTGAGCAAACAAGTCTAAGGGGGAGCAGAGGAAGAGGCGTCTCATTCTAAGGCTCTTAGATCAATTTAAATATGCAAATGTGCTTTTTAATAACGCACTTTTTGGGGGTTATCATATTAAGCGTGTGATGGGTAGTTTAGCAAGTCTTCTGTATTTAAATAGCAGGACTCCCTGAAGTGTCAGAAAGTTCTCAGTCTTAAGTTGTGGCTGCAGGTGAAGGAACACCCACGTTAATTACGTGTTTGCTTTCCTGTGAGTGCTAGAATTGGTGGTGCTGGAATTCATCTGTGGCAATTAGCTGACATAATTTCTTCTTGTGGCATTCTTTTTCCCCGGGTCTCCTTTTTGTAATATGTGCCACAAGAACACATATGAGAAAGGAATTAAGGGAGTAATCTCAAGCAGTTCTAAACATGTTTTAAACTTACTCATTCTGTCACTTTGAGAGAGAGAGTTAAAACTTGTTTGAAGGAAGATAAGGAAGAATTTAAGCGGTTTTACCTCAAAAATTCTCCATTTCCTTCCCCAAAGTGAAAGATTTGAAGAGAAAGAAAACCAAAGTTGCATGCAGCTCAGGGTAATTTAGGGATATTTTTGCAATGTGTTATTATGAGCAATGTGTTATTACGAGCAAATCTTTTTTTTTTGTGTGAAGTAATTAGGACATTTCATGGGTCCTGGGTAAATACTGCTGCTCCTTTGTTCGCTTCCTGGGTACTGTCCATCAGGCTTATTAAGTTTGAGCAAAGCAGAGCTCTAAAGAGATTTACTGCTGCCTCATGGCTTAGCTATATCTTTCTGATGCAATACTATGAAGTGTTGCTCATTTGTGGCACTCTATGAAATGTTCACTCAGAAGTACCTCCAGTGAAGCTGGGCAAGCGTGGCAGCCGAACTTGTTGAATTCTTCTGTATTTGTTGTCTTTTGTGCTTGAAATCTTCGCTTTTAGTGACTTTTAGAAAGGTTTAAGCTTGAACTAGATTCTCACTGTGCATTATTCCGGACTGTGCTGGGGCTGTGGGTATTGAGCTGACTCTGGTGAATACATTACCCCTATTCATGTTACTTCACGGGCTGTTTCTAGTAGACGTGGCTCTCATTTGGCACGTCAGCTAGGACTTGGATGGCATCAAACCTCTCTGAAACCCTTCAGAGTTTTCTAAGGGAGTGTTTAAAGCGTTTAAGGCGGTTGCGTAATTTGTGACTCCTTTTTTTCTCTCCTGTTCTTGCAGTTTATTTGAAAGAGGAAGATGCCAATCGTCAGAAACGTCAGCAGAGCTGTCAGCCAGCTGCTACAGAGCTCTGGTTGTGGATGTGGGATTTCCATCGTGCCCGTTCGATGCATCGGAGTCTCACCCCGCCAGGTGGCCTCTGATGCCAGCTTTCACTCGGTTTCTTTTGCCGAGTCTGATCATCCTCGGGTGCTAATTACAGGTCAGCATTCCTGGCATAACTGTATTCCTGCTCTGAGTCCCCCAATCCCCTCCTCCCTCCCTGCTGAGCAGAGTTCTGGAGGCAAAAATCACAGAATCACAGAATCTTCTAGGTTGGAAGGGACCTTAAAGATCATCTTGTCCAACCGTCAACCCAACTGACAAAAATAGACACCCACACAACAAACAAGGAGCATCATCACTAAACCATACCTCCCAGCACTTCATCAACCTGTCTTTTGAACACCTCCAGGGATGGTGCCTCAACCACCTCCCTGGGCAGCCCATTCCAATGGCTGAGAACCCTTTCAGTGAAAAAATTTTTCCTAATATCCAGCCTGAACCTCCCCTGGCGCAACTTGAGGCCATTTCCTCTTGTCCTGTCACCTGTGACTTGAGAGAAGAGACCAACCCCCACCTCTCTACACCCTCCTTTCAGGCAGTTGTAGAGAGCAATAAGGTCTCCCCTCAGCCTCCTCTTCTCCAGGCTGAATAACCCCAGCTCCCTCAGCCTCTCCTCATAAGACTTATTCTCCAGACCCCTCACCAGCTTTGTCGCCAATAGATTCTGGAATTGTGATGATCTTTCCCTTACGGTGATAAGATCAGAGTCCCATGTGAACTTTCCTACTCATTTTTTTTCCATAAATCTACTAAAACCAATTCATTGTTTTTATTTTGGGAAAAATGTAGAAGCTCTCAGGCTTGCTGAGAAAAATAGTACTCAGTTCTCAGACCGGGGCCTAACAAGTTCTGATGGGATACATAAAATATGCAAAATCTGTATTTTGATACCACTTTTCCTCTGATTTTTGTGTGCTTCTCTTTAGGTGGTCTGGGCCAGCTTGGAGTAGGACTTGCGAAGCTTCTGAGGTACGTCATGATTCTTTGACTTGATATTAGTGGGGTATTCAAGCTTTAGCTTTTAAAAGCACTAATTTTCAGGAAGGTTGTTTTAAAAAAAAAAATAATCTTATGTACAACTGCAGATTCTGGTTTTTTTGCCTTTGGGTCTTTTTATTTTATTTTTTACTCCAGTGCTTGGTTTAGGTTTACTGACGTATTTTCTGTGTGTACATTGGTCACGATGCCCAAAATAACATAATTTTGTCTAAGAGACAAGCTGCTGAGTTCAATTTGCTTCTAGTTAAATGGAAGTATTCAGAATCTGAGTCCTCACAGGGTGGTCAGTTCTCCTTGTCTCTTTTTTGGTCTTGCTGAATAGGGCTGGATTTGAGTGCTCACTAGAGAGACAAAGGCTGTGATTTTATGCAGGTACTGCAGAAGAGAAAATAGTGCAAACATCCACTTGAAAAAATATGTCATCCTTTGTTAACTACCCAGCTGTTGGGCTCTGCAACTGCTGACTTTTCTCTTTCTGAGAATTTCAGTTGAGTAACTTCAGGAATAAGGTGCCCTCTTTACTAAAGTGCAAACAAAAATAAAGACTAGGATAGAAGATCCTGAAGTTTTTATGATTTGGTGAAAGATGAACAGATGGAACAAAAGGAGTAAAATTGAAAATACATTTTTTTTCTGGCTCTTTCTGTTCCCCCATACCCATTCCCCCATGCACACTTACCTTATTTTTTTTTCATGGTGTCTTTTCAAGAAATGTAAAATACTCTGAGAGCTCTCCCTGGTCCATATCACTGTCCAATGATACTCAGCTCCAGAGCATCGTTTGCACAGAGACAGTGTTTGTTGCAGAGGTTTTAGACTGACCAAAAGTGAGCAGACTCACTGAATTCAACACTGTGGTACAGTTTGAATGTTCTTTACCATTTCTGTGATATATTTGAAAATCATCCAAATACTGGAAGGTTGGAATGTACTCCGGTGCCATCAGGCTTGTTCTCTGTGATAGCCTTGTGCTGATTAGAAAAGCACAAGGCAGAGATGACCCAGTTGTATTTACTTTGATATCAAAGCAGCTGCAGTTACAGCAAGACCAGTGGCTTTTTGTTGTGAGCAGGGGAGTAGATTATCTCTGGGTTAAAGTTTCAGCCAGAAGAGGGTGGGAAGGTTGGTCTTATCAATGTATTTTCATTTTCTGAAATATTCCTCTCTCCTTATGTAGTCTTTCACTGCTACTAGAAGTAGTTTAATAATTTTCTAAGATGTTATATTGAGCCTTAAGGGATCAGTGGGGTTTTTTGTAGTGCAGTAACTGATTTCATTGTGGAAATTACTGTTCTGATATTGCTCCTACTCAACAAAATAGCAGCATAACAACTTAAGAATTATCTTGAAGGCTGTGGACTCACTGTACTGTGTGGGTATTTTTATACAGGAAACGCTTTGGAAAGAACAATGTGATCTTGTCTGACATTAGAAAGCCTGCAGATAGTGTTTTTTACAGTGGTAAGTGTCTGGGGGAGAATATGGAAATAAAAGTCTTGATTTTTACTTCTGGTGTTGATAGACTGATTACCAAAGTCTAAATGATGTGTGGATTAAACTGAACAAGTTGCTGTTTGAAAATTCTGGATAATGCCTTCCTGCTTTGAAATCTTGCCAAGACATTGATTTCTTCTGTCAGTTACTCCCTCTTTCCAAATATATTTTTCTTTGCATTTTATTTGAGTCAAATTGAGCTTGGTGGTTGTGCTTCTGCTGTAAAAAAAGATGCGTTTATTCTTTTGGAGGGAACAAGTTGAAAATTTTTTTCTTTGTTTTTCTATGCTCAGGCAACTTTTATAACGAGGATATAGAGTGGTCTGGATTCTTTGATTTTCATTAGAAACTTGCATAAAGTTTTCTTCATTGTTACTATTTAGTGATGTATTTAGATGTTTGAATAGTGTGTATTAGATGTTCCCTGTTTCCATGCTGTTGACTGGATAAAACAGGAGTTTTTGCATCAGTCTGTTGAGGTAGAGGTAGCAGTTTCCCTTCATTTCTCCTGCTGATTTACTAATTTATTGACCACTGCTGTTAGGTGAAATCCTGAGCAGGGGTATGGACATGTTCCTGTGCAACCAGGTGGACCTGCTTTGGCAGGGAAGTTGTACTAGATGATCTCCAGAGATCCCCTCCAACCCAATATCATTCTGTGATTCTATGATCAAGAAGCAGCAATTTGAGTTTCACGTAGAACTTTTCTTTACATCCCTTCTTCTTGGTGATCAATTTCCTGCTCGTTGTGTTTCTTCTAGGTCCTTTTATCTACGCAGATATCTTGGACTACAAGAATTTACGTGAGATAGTGGTGAATAATCGGATAACTTGGCTCTTCCACTATAGTGCTTTGCTCAGTGCTGTTGGAGAAGCAAACGTCCCTTTGGCCAGAGCTGTAAATATTACTGGTATGTGACATGGGTGTCAAATTCCTGGCTCCCTACAGAGGCTTGAGAAAGCCCAGTGTATGTTCTAATAAATCCTGTGGTTTCTTCCAGGTTTACACAACGTCCTGGATATTGCAGCTGAGCATAATTTGAGACTCTTTGTCCCGAGCACTATTGGAGCCTTTGGACCCACCTCACCTCGAGATCCGACTGACTGGATAAAACAGGAGTTCTTGCATCAGTCTGTTGAGGTAGAGGTAGCAGTTTCCCTCCATTTCTCCTGCTGATTTACTAATTTATTGACCACTGCTGTTAGGTGAAATCCTGAGCAGGGGTATGGACATGTTCCTGTGCAACCAGGTGGACCTGCTTTGGCAGGGAAGTTGTACTAGATGATCTCCAGAGATCCCCTCCAACCCAATATCATTCTGTGATTCTATGATCAAGAAGCAGCAATTTGAGTTTCACGTAGAACTTTTCTTTACATCCCTTCTTCTTGGTGATCAATTTCCTGCTCGTTGTGTTTCTTCTAGGTCCTTTTATCTACGCAGATATCTTGGACTACAAGAATTTACGTGAGATAGTGGTGAATAATCGGATAACTTGGCTCTTCCACTACAGTGCTTTGCTCAGTGCTGTTGGAGAAGCAAACGTCCCTTTGGCCAGAGCTGTAAATATTACTGGTATGTGACATGGGTGTCAAATTCCTGGCTCCCTACAGAGGCTTGAGAAAGCCCAGTGTATGTTCTAATAAATCCTGTGGTTTCTTCCAGGTTTACACAACGTCCTGGATATTGCAGCTGAGCATAATTTGAGACTCTTTGTCCCGAGCACTATTGGAGCCTTTGGACCCACCTCACCTCGAGATCCGACTCCTGATCTCTGCATTCAGAGACCAAGGACCATCTATGGAGTCTCCAAGGTTCACGCTGAGCTCATGGGAGAAGTGAGAATTGTTTTATTTTCTTTATTTCATGAAAGTTCTGGGAGAACTTCATTACTTTTGTAAGATTCTTCACTGTGGTGTTCTTTTCCCCATTCTTTCCTTCCTTCAGGCTTCAGGCTTTCTCCCCAGTAAGGCTGGGGAGAACCTGTTTAGAAAGGCCTGCAGTGACAGGACGAGGGGCAATGGCTTCAAGCTGGAGGGGAACAGATTTAGACTGGAGATGAGGAGAGGGTTCTTCACTGTGAGGGTGGTGGAGCACTGGAACAGGTTGCCCAGGGAGGTGGTTGAGGCCCCATCCCTGGAGATATTCAAGGTGAGGCTCAACGAGGCCCTGGGCAACCTGGTCTAGTTGGGGGTGTCCCTGCTGACTGCGGGGGGGTCGGACTAGATGGCCTTTGGAGGTCCCTTCTGGCCTGGGCAATTCTATGATTCTAGTAGTCAGAGACAGCTCTGAGGGACAAATATCATTGAATCATAGAATGATTTAGCTGAGAAGAGACATTAAAGATCATCGAGTTCCAATCCTCCTGCCCTGGGCAGAGACACCACCCACTAGACCAGGTTACTCAACTGGGTTACGAGGTTATCTTTTGAATTTTGTTGGAAAAAATACAAAGAATTGGAAGCTGGCAAACATGTAGCTTTCAATATCGTTTCTTTCCCTGGTTCATTTGGCTTTGGCCTCTCTACATCATCTCCTGGTATGAATGGTGTTGCATAAACGATGGTGTACAAAGCCTTGCAAAAGCCTGCTGGGCATTGATGGCTTTGGCCCCCTGTCCCTCAAAAAAAAAGACTCTAAAGTCCAAGTCATGGGAGTCTGTACGTGCACAACTTCTCTCTTGGCTTTGTAGCTTTTTTTAGAAACATAAACGTTATATCTAGACCCTACATCCCAATGAAGAAGAAACCCCTATTGATGTAGAAGAAAACTAGCAGAGAGCAGTTCCTTTTCTTTCATCCCTGTCAGGGTATGGTCGCAGAATGGAGGCTCATCCTGTGGCACGTATTTTGCTGTGAAATCAGTGAGTTTTGTGGCCTGGTATTGATGCCTAAAGCTGTGTTTCTCTCCTCCCTCCCTAGTACTACCATTACCGGTACGGCTTAGACTTCCGCTGCCTGAGGTATCCAGGAATTATATCTGCTGACTCTCAGCCTGGTGGGGGAACAACTGGTGAGTGGCTTCCACGTATTTCTCAGTCTTTCAGGAAAGACTAGCAACACCATAAGCCAATACAGTCATTTTTAAGGTGTTTGCAGTAATTTAATCTCTGTAGAACATCAGTGTAGAGCTGCTGTTTCAACAATGTTACACCAATACTTTTGTCCAGCCTACGGCATAATTCCGTACGGTGGGGGAACGACTGGTGAGTGGCTTCAACATGTTTCTCAGTCTTGCAGGAAAGACTAACAACACCATAAGCCAATACAGTAATTTTTAAGGTGTTTGCAGTAATTTAATCTCTGTAGAACATCATTATAGAGCTGCTGTTTCAACAATGTTACACCAATACTTTTGTCCAGCCTACGGCATAATTCCGTAGCCTTTACATTTAAACATATCTGAGAGACTTTGGATTAATTACACTCATTTAGACCATTTCCTTCAAAAATATTTTAAATTCTGCTGTCTTGCTGCAATGTATAAATGCTAGAGTAGCCTCAGGGTAGTTCAGAGTGACTTAAACTTCTGCTGTACAATGTGATTGGCACACAGTTCATAGAATCATAGTATGGTTTTGGTTGGAAGTGACCTTAAAGATCATCGAGTTGTAACCCCCCAGCCCTGGGCAGGGACATCCATTTCTGCTGCTGGTCTTTAGACAGGAGACTTTGGGAGTGGTCTGAGGATTGTTGACTGTCATGACATGAACAACAACTTGAGGCAGACGAGTACACGCATCCGTTGTTCTTTTCTACAGATTACGCTGTCCAGATTTTTCACGATGCCATAAAGACTGGCAAATTTCAGTGCAACCTAAAGCCGGACACTCGTCTGCCCATGATGTACATTGATGACTGTCTGAAAGCCACTCTGGAGGTGATGGAGGCCCCTGCGGAGGCGCTGAGCATGAGGACCTACAACATCAGCGCCATGAGCTTCACTCCCGAAGAGCTGGCGCAAGAGGTGCAGAAGCATGTTCCTGAACTCCAGGTCACCTACAACGTGGACAAAGTCAGGCAGGCCATAGGTTAGTATCAACATTTTTGGTAAGAAAAAAACATTAGATTGTTGATGACAACAAGCTGTGTGGTGTGGTTGGGGCCTCAGCACAGGAGAGACATGGAGCTGTTGGAGCGGGGCCAGAGGAGGCCCCAGAGATGCTGGGAGGGCTGGAGCCCCTCTGCTGGGAGGGGGGGCTGAGAGAGTTGGTCAGCACAGGAGAGACATGGAGCTGTGGGAGCGGGGCCAGTGGAGACCCTGGAGATGCTGGGAGGGCTGGAGCCCCTCTGCTGGGAGGGGGGGCTGAGAGAGTTGAGGGAGTCAGCTTGGAGAAGAGAAGGCTCTGGGGAGACCTTGGAGCCCCTTCCAGTCCCTCAAGAAGGGGGGCTCCAGGAGAGATGGGGAGGGACTCTTAATCAGGGAGGGGAGCCATAGGATGAGGCAGAATGGTTTTAAACTGGAGGAGGGGAGATTGAGATGAGATATAAGAAAGGTTTTAAACTGAAGGAGGGGAGATTGAGATGAGATAGAGGGAAGAACTTGTTTGGTGTGAGGGTGGTGAGACACTGGAACAGGTTGCCCAGAGAAGCTGTGGCTGCCCCATCCCTGGAGGGGTTCAAGACCAGGTTGGAGGGGGCTTGGAGCAACCTGGTCTGGTGGGAGATGTCCCTGCCCAGGGCAGGGGGTTGGAACTGGATGATCTTTGAGGTCCCTTCCAACCCAAACCATTCTTGAGGGCAAAACAGTTTCTTTTCTTTTTAGACACTTGCAAATTATTCACGTATGGTTCAAGTCTTACGGTTTGAAAACCAGCTTTAATACTTGAACTGATGATGATACATCTTAAAGAACTTTTTCTTAAACCTCATGCTCCATCTTTCTTCTTTCTTTCCACCGCAGCTGACAGCTGGCCCATGAACTTTGATGATAGCAATGCCCGGAGGGATTGGGGCTGGAAACACGATTATGATCTCCCTGAGTTGGTGACTACGATGTTTAGCTTCCTTGGGTCCGACTCCAGGATTGCTCAAGCTAACTGAAATACTTTGTAAGACGTTTCCAGATTTCCACAGAGGACCAGGAAGAAATGGCTAAATTAGTTTCTAATTTTCCGAGTCTTAGAGCATGTCAATTATTAATTTTTTCTTAAGTAGCGACAGAGTTGGGCAGAAATACTGTAGCTGGAATGTACTTTTAGATAAACAACATCATTCGGTACTGTCTCTGAGCACAGCACTGATGACAAAACACAAAATCCTTGAATTTTCACACTTAAGCAGCTAGAAAACAAAACAAAAAGGCACTTATTCCTGGCTGACGACTCTCCTGTCATTCCTGCCACCTGCCTTTTCTTTGGCAGATAACCTGGGGCAACATTGTCAGACCTGGTGTTTGGGGGCAAATCCCAAAAAGTTAATGGTAGGTGTTTGGTTTTCCTGGTAGAGGATGGTAGATGGTAGTAAGATATTGATCATTTCTCCTCTTTGCTGACAAGAGAGAGATCAGAAAGAGCTACTCCATGTTTTCCAAATTGCAGGGGTCGTTGCAATTCTAGTTTGAAATCAAACTTTGGTCGATAGTTCCTATTTATATATATATATATAGTGCTGTATAAGCATACACTTTTCTATACATAGGGCATATTATATAGCGTTATTCTTATAATGCTCATAAATGTGAAGAGAAATAGGACTTGAATTCTCATTATGCTTTAAAAAAAACCAAAAAAACAGCAGGGTTTACAAGCTGAGCTTTGTCCTGCTCTTTGAAAGTGCTTCAGTTAAACCTCGGAGGTAGATCCCAAACGTGAAGGGCTGTTACGTGTGTGAGAATCTGGGGTGTATTTGGAGAAAGTGATGCCCAGGTGTGGGTTTATTGTTCATCAGCACCACTTTGCTGTGCTGGCACGATAACATCCTGCCTGGAGAGAGTCTTAAAGGTGAGGCTGATGATGGAGCCTGGTGGTAGAGTCAAGTCAGCCTTTGAAATCTGTTCACTTTCACTGCATTTTCCACTGTATTTGTAGATGCTGTTTGCCTGTAACTCTCTCATGTGCTTTTTTATTCTTTAGAGAGGGATCCCGAAGCTGAAACCCATCTTCTAGCTACAGTTTAAAGGCTGTTCTGCTCGTTGAGTTTCATGCACAGGAGATTCTGGGATTAACAAGGGAGCCTTAGTAGATGCGTGCGAGGAAGAGCTCAAAAGCTACTTAGGAGACTTTGAGGAGTGACAAACTGGAGGGACAGGAAAGCCATTTTAGGTAAAATAGCAGTTTCTGTGGATGTGAATCTGAGCCATCGGCTGCTCTAGCTAGAGAATACCTTGAGAAACAGCATCTGGGAACTTGGATTTTATTTTTTTTTCAAAGAAAAAAATATCTTTTCATTTTCAAAATGACTGGAAATTCCCTAGATGAAGCTCTCCATCTTTATTTTTTGTGTCTGGTATACTCCAATAACACGTGTAGCTAAACATGTTCGAGTATTATTATTTTTTTTTCTTTGCCTATAGCTTGTTTGCTCTGTTTTCTGTGCTCACGCTTCCGTAGTTGCCAGTCTGTTTCTCTCTCTGTCACCCTGCGGCGTTTCCTCGGGAAGTGGGTAACTGCCACGACCAGATTTCTGTCTCTGTGCTGCAGGGAACAGGTTTTCTCACGAAAATAACCTTCAGATGGAAGATTCTGGGGTGAAACCCAGTTCTTTTAAACATTTGTTCAACTTGCGTCTCTTGGTTTTGTACGTATCTTGTTGTTTCATCCCTTGGCAAAGTATGCCTTTCCCAGGTATTTAAGCTCAAAAACCTCTAAGGTTCTGGCCTGTTACTGAAATTATTGAAACATTTATTTTTTTTTTATATATATATATATTGTTTACGTTGCTGAAAAGACAAGTTTTTAAAGTTTGGCCGCTGTTGTAACTACTGCGTTGTTCAAGTGTAATATTTGGCCCAATGGGCCAGTAAAGTTGGTCCTCGATTCAGAGCCTCCAAGGAAAGATGGGCTCGGGTTTTGTTCTCTGCCCTCCCAAAAACCAGGGTTATTTCCAAGTAAACTGTTACCCTGAGCCCTCAGGTCAAGGGCTTTAACACAGGCTGAAATATCTTGTCCATTCCAGTTTCTCTTCATTCAGACCCCAGGGGCTCCTCGTTGCCTCCGTCCCACGAGATGTCTAAAATAAAGAGCTGTTGATGGGTCTCACTCCATTTCTTTGCTCGATGTTGTGGGATTTACTCCCCTCACCTTTGTTCATTAACGAGTGAAGAGCAAAAACGTTCTATTTTTTTTCCTGAAACACACCATCTGTGGTGGTGATATTGCACAGAAGCTTTGGATAAGGTGCTGCAGCGAAGGTGAAATTCAAACCTACGGCATTTTGAGCAAAGTTGGGAGGTTTTTTTGGTTCCGTTGAGCCAAAAATTGCTGACTTCATTTAGGAAATTTCCATTTTGCAAAATCTGAAAGAAATCATATGGCAATAGAGAGCTGTTTGGAGGTAACAAGGTGGCGATAGGGAATGTGATTTGAGATGTCTAGATGGTCTGAGGCCTGTTTGAAATGCTGGTTTTCGACCCGTGACCAATGATATGTGTAGTATTATTATTATTATTGTTATTATTTTTCCATCTCTTCCTCATTAATTTCCGTTGTAACTGTGCTACAGAATTTCCTGTATTCAGCCAATTTGATGTGGTACAAAATGTCTTTTCACTTTTGCTACCAGTATGAAGTCTGACTTCTGGGCAGAGACTTCTCTCATGACACTTGAGCGCTGTAGCTGTTCAATTACCTATTCAGGAAAAAAAAAAAAAAAAACGTGTAGTATTATTATTATTATTGTTATTATTTTTCCATCTCTTCCTCATTAATTTCCGTTGTAACTGTGCTACAGAATTTCCTGTATTCAGCCAATTTGATGTGGTACAAAATGTCTTTTCACTTTTGCTACCAGTATGAAGTCTGACTTCTGGGCAGAGACTTCTCTCATGACACTTGAGCGCTGTAGCTGTTCAATTACCTATTCAGGAAAAAAAAAAAAAAAAAAAAAAAGAAGTTCTTAAGAATATTTTTTCAAATATTGTAAGTTGTGGATGATGCCTACCTTAATAAAATCCTATGCAGACCTATCCTTGTTTTGTCGTCTTTGTTTAGAGCACCCGAGGGCAGTGATGGAGGATGCTGAGGGTTGCTCCATGGAGGATGCTGAGGGTTGCTCCAAGGCAGGTACAGGGTGGTTGCCCCTTCTAATCTTCAGGGAGTCATTGGGCAGGTGTTGGAAAATGGTTTGGGTTGGAAGGGACCTTAAAGCCCATCCAGTGCCACCCCCTGCCCTGGGCAGGGACACCTCCCACCAGACCAGGTTGCTCCAAGCCCCTCCAACCTGGCCTTGAACCCCTCCAGGGATGGGGCAGCCACAGCTTCTCTGGGCAACCTGGGCCAGGCTCTCACCACCCTCACACCAAAGAAGTTCTTCCCCACAGCTCAGCTCCATCTCCTCTTTTTCAGTTTAAAATCATTCTGCCTCCTCCTAGGGCTCCCCTCCCTCATCCAGATGCCTCCTCCTAAGGCTCCCCTCCCTGATCCACAGTCCCTCCCCTTGTCTCCTGTATCCCCTTGAGGGACTGGAAGGGGCTCCAAGGTCTCCCTGGAGCCTTCTCTTCTCCAGGCTGACCCCCCCCAACTCTCTCAGCCCCCCCTCCCAGCAGAGGGGCTCCAGCCCTCCCAGCATCTCCGGGGCCTCCTCTGGCCCCGCTCCAACAGCTCCATGTCCTTCTGCTGGTGGTGGCCCCAGAGCTGGAGTCCCAACTCTCAGCCCCCCCTCCCAGCAGAGGGGCTCCAGCCCTCCCAGCATCTCCGGGGCCTCCTCTGGCCCCGCTCCAACAGCTCCATGTCTCTCCTGTGCTGAAGCCCCAGGGCTGGAGGCAGCACTGGGTGGAGATCTCACGAGAAGGGTAGAATCCCCTCCCTGGAAGAGGCCCCTCCCTTGTAGACAGCAGTTTTCCAAAAAGTGCTGGATTTTAAATATTCCTCCATCCCTTCTGGATTGCTTAGCCCTTTCTCAGGTTGAGAATCCAGTCGCTCTGCCTTTGGCCACGTTTCTATCTCCATTTCCTCCCGTGCACCTTTGAAATGGCAAGAAAAGGGCGATGGTTTTCTGAGGGAGAGGCTTTAAAAAACACATGCTGAGACTTTAAGGCTGTGGGGTCCTCATTTCTGTGGCTGTGCAGGTCCTGGCTCCAGGTGTTGCACAACCAGTGAAGTTGGTCACCAGGAGAAGCCTGTGCAGACCTGAGTGAGGATGAGTCTGCTCCCAATCATTTACCAGGGGCCCACCCCGCCTCGTTAATTGCTGAATAAACACTCCCTTCAGCTTCAACGAGGCCTTTCCCTCCTCCCACACCTCAGGCTGTGGGGTCCTCGTTTCTGCGGCTGTGCAGGTCCTGGCTCCAGGTGTTGCACAACCAGTGAAGTTGGTCACCAGGAGAAGCCTGTGCAGACCTGAGTGAGGATGAGTCTGCTCCCAATCATTTACCAGGGGCCCACCCCGCCTCGTTAATTGCTGAATAAACACTCCCTTCAGCTTCAACGAGGCCTTTCCCTCCTCCCACACCTCAGCTTTCTAATGATGGGAACTTCATCTGGAGGAAACATTCTGCTTGACCAAGGTTTAATGACTAACGCAGTCATTGTGTTTCTCACAGAGCAGGTGAGGGTGTTCCAGCACCACGCTCTTTCCAGCTACTTCTCTTTGATAATTAGTTTGACTCTGGTTTACACATGCTCAATCTGGCTTCCTGAAGTGCTACGGGTGATGGAGCTTCATCCAAAGCTGCTGTGGCCGAGGAGAGGATCTCCATTACCCTTCAGGTCCTCCAGGCCCTGCAAAAGCTGGCTGGTGGAAAATGACCTGGGGTTGGTGGTTGACTCCTGGCTGAATATGAGCCAGCAGCATGCCCAGGTGGCCAAGAAGGCCACCAGCATTCTGGCCTCTATCAGTAATGGCGTGGCCAGCAGGACTGGGGTAGTGACCATCCCTCTGTACTGGGCACTGGTGAGGCCCCACCTCGAGTGCTGTGTCCAGTTTTGGGCCCCTTATGACAGGAGGGAAGTTGAGGGGCTGGAATGTGTCCAGAGAAGGGCAACGGAGCTGGTGAGGGGTCTGGAGCACAAGTCTTGTGAGGAGAGGCTGAGGGAGCTGGGGGTGTTCAGCCTGGAGAAAAGGAGGCTGAGGGGAGACCTTCTGGCTCTCTACGACTCCTTGAAAGGAGGGTGTAGCCAGAGGGGGTTGGTCTCTTCTCCCAAGGAACAGGTGATGGGACAAGAGGAAATGGCCTCAAGTTTCATCAGGGGAGGTTTAGGATGGATATTTTGAAAAATTTCTTCATGGAAAGTGCTGTCAAGCCTTGGAAGAGGCTGGCCAGGGCAGTGGTGGAGTCCCCATCCCTGGAGGGATTTAAAAGCCAGGCAGACGTGGTGCTGAGGACATGGGTCAGTGGTGGGTTTGTCAGTGTTGGGTTGGTGGTTGAACTCAATGACCTGAAGGGTCTTTTCCACAATTCTATGATTCCGAAAACAACTATTGCATTTTTCTCCCTTTCCCCCCACTCTGTTGTTCAGAGATTTAGGAGCAAATCATTGTATTCATGCAGCAAAACCAAAAGCCTCCTGAACTTTTCCCTTTTAACTCTCAGATTTATTTCTCCTCCTTACTGCTTTGCCTTGGAGTCCGGGACTGGCTTTGTCCTTCCTTCACTGTTCCCGTGTAAGAGGTGGGCCAAAAAGCTTCAAAGGAGGGAGCTCTGCTCCTTCTCAAGGGGTCAGTGCCGGTGGAAGTTGAACTTCCCCCAAGCTTTTGAAGTGGATACTGAGCTACATACCTCTGGCAACGGGTTAGTAATTCCCAGACTGATAAATTTGAAACCAGGGCCTGGAGAAAGAGTCTTTCTGTCCTCCTAGAGGTCACCACCCAAGCCTTGGGGTAGAAAGGCAAGTCCTGCCAGGGTCTGGGTCCCATTGCAATAATTCCTAAGATGATAATTCCTTTGTTTCAGCCCACACAGAGGCAGCTGCTGTCCCCTCCTGGCTGCTTAAGACACCCAGGGAGAGGTGCAGAAGAGAAGGAACCTTCTTCCCTCAGTGAGACAGCACCAGGGTTGCCGGAGATGAACTCTGTGCTTTTGGAAGACCCTTCCTTTTGCTCCTCAGGGTCTAACGTAGCATTTGTGAGGAGCTCCGCGTTCCTCCAGGGAAGAGAAGTCAACCCTGGCAAGGTGGGGAGAGGTTAGCCAGAGGGCAGGAGCATTGCTCCAAGGGCTGGGATGCCCACCTTGCAACACCCCCTCTCATGACACTCCAGGTTTTGAGGGCTTTCCTGACGTCCTGGAGACAGGTTGTTTCTATTTGAGGTGTACATTAGCTGGCATCACGAAACATTTGCCCTTCTGCTGGAGGCTGGAGCCAGACGAGTGCTCTTCAGGCTATTTTTGGCTTCATACCATAGTTGTATGTGATCCTAAAGTCGCCACGTGTCTGAGCACATGGGGCTGAGGGGGTGTGTGTGGGGGGTTGGGCTCTCATCTACCCACTGGGCAGCAATGTCACTGTTGCTGTCCTTCCTGGTTGCTTCATTTCTATCACACGGGGATGGCTGTGATGGTGCACACAGGAGCCCTGCCTCCAGCTCTGGGGCCTCAGCACAGGAGAGACATGGAGCTGTTGGAGCGGGGCCAGAGGAGGCCCCGGAGATGCTGGGAGGGCTGGAGCCCCTCTGCTGGGAGGGGGGGCTGACAGAGTTGGGGGGGGTCAGCCTGGAGAAGAGAAGGCTCCGGGGAGACCTTGGAGCCCCTTCCAGTCCCTCAAGGGGCTCCAGGAGAGATGGTGAGGGACTCTGGATGAGGGAGGGGAGCCCTAGGAGGAGGGGGAAGGGTTTGACACTGCAAGAGGGGAGATGGAGCTGAGCTGTGGGGAAGAACTTGTTTGGTGTGAGGGTGGTGAGAGCCTGGCCCAGGTTGCTCCCTGGAGGAATTCCAGGTCGGGTTGGATGGGGCTTGGAGCAACCAGGTGTGGTGGGAGGTGTCCCTGCCCAGGGCAGGGGGGTTAGAACAAGATGTTCTTTAGGTCTGTTCCAACCAAAACCATTCTAGGATTCTATGATTCTATGTGGCAGCTCTTAAATATCTTCTTCTAACTGAAACGTATGTCCCTTCCCCTCTAAATTTAAACAGATATGACCTCCACCTTGCCACTGGTTGCTCGGCCTGTCTCTGCCTTTGCTCCCGATCCTGTGGGCCTTCTCAGCCCCTTCTTTGTCCAGAAGAAAGGGCTGGGACCATGCTCCTGGCAGGATCAACTCATCCCCAGGAACTTCCCTCCTGCGGTGAGGTCACAGCGCATTGATCGATGGGTGGGTTGACCTTTAGACCAATCCTCAATGGAGGAGGTTCTTGGCAGGGGACATCAGTGTGCAGCTCCAAGGACGGTCATCGAGCCGATCATTTTTTTTGGCAAGAAAGGAGCATTGCTGCAAGGATGGTCTCTCCTTACCCGTCTGGTGCAATAGGTCCTTCATCTCTCCAGCCTTTCCGTAACGCCAGGGTAAAGACCCATCAGCAGCAGAGCCGTTGCGAAAGCGACGTGTCAGAGGAGACAAAGCAAAGTCCAGTTTGCCCACTGACCATCAGCTTCCCCTTCTGGGGAATGGGTTCTTCCCGTCTGAAGCCTGAGATTCATGAGATTTGGTGCATTTTCTTTAAAACCCTGTCTCCTGGAGTCTTGTGATTCTGCGAGACCCTCATACCGGGTTGAGAAACAATCC